CCACTTTTTCACCATTTAACACATATATAAAGAATATAGTAACATACTTATAAAACTGTTTAACTCATTCTTATTCATGACTATTTAAGATAAACTTCGTCTCAAGTGATTTTAAATAGATCAAAAACCTCTTTTATACCAAAAATCCATTTCAAACTTATATAATTCAAGAAAACTTTGTGGATTTACTTTTTAAAATAAGATAACTCTCTTCTCTAAAGATTAATAAACATATTTAGGTAGAACCTAGGATTTAGGAGTAACTCCCCTTACCTGGAAATGGATCTTAAGAATCAAGTTCTTCATGTGCTCTAGGGAGAAACTCCACATCTCAACCAAAAATACTACTCAAGGACTAGATTTCTTCATAACATTACAAAATAGATTTCTATATGAAAGAGAGAAAAGAGAAATAGGAACGAGATTCAAAGGATGAGCTCCAAAAACTTACTTAGATTTGAGTGGAATAGACTTTTGAGCTCAGATCCAAGAGAGATCAAGAGTTATTAGAGGTTTTCTCTGAGAAGAGAGAGGGAGAGAATGAAGAGGATGAAGAGGGATAGGTGATTTGGTTGAAAATGAAATATTTAGGGCAAGAGTTCTTTAAATATCTCTAAAACTCGCGACTTTCTCGCTACAACGAGCAGTTCTTGCTATAGCGAAAAAAACAGAAGTTTTCTTCCTTTGTTGTTTATCATTCTAGCTACAGCAAGAGCTCCTCGCTATAGCGAGAGCATCCTCATTACAACGAAAGATTCTAGCTATAGCTAGAGGGCTCTAGAAGGTTCCATTTTCACCGCCTCATTCTCGCTACAACGAAATATCCTACAATTCATATCAATTAAACACTTCTAATTTCAAATAACATGCATATACAACTAACATAATTTGCAATAATAATAAATTACAAAATGAGGGTGTTATATAAAAGCATATGTAAGAGAGATAAGATGCATTCTTTCTATGTTGTTTTGATTTTTTCTCATTGATTAAGGCAGCACTCAGTAATAAACTCATCAATCTCTACGGTACCGAGTAATTCTAGTATTTAATCTTATTGTAGTGTTTAATTATCATTTCTTATATTAAGAAGAATTAAATTAATTTTTCATCAAAAATTTCTAACAGTGCATTGTGTACCCTTTGGCGAGATTGTTCTCTAACTTAGGGTTGACAACATTATCATCCCAAGTGATCAAGGAGGCCCGTAAGAAGAAGAGTGCAACATGTTTTAGGGGATGAGAGTCCACAATTATTTTTAATGCAATTTTTAAAATTAGTTTTGCTGAAACTTAAATTTTTTTTTCTATCTTTTTTCATAAAAAGCTAACTTTTAATAATAATAGTGAAACTTTTTTTCTTCATAATACATGTTAGTGTGAGATAATTTTGCTAATAATAATAATAATAATAATAAAATTTTATTAAAAAAATATGTTTTGCCATTGTAAGTGACAAAACTAGGATGATATTGTCTAAAAACACTATAAATAAAAAAGTTGTTTTGAGAAAAATTGTATTTTGATGAATAGTTTAAAATTTTTTATAAAAATAAAAAAAGTTGGTAACTTAAGTAATGTTTTGCAAAATTTATATAAAAAAATTAATTTAGTTTCCTAGATCGTAAAGTAGAAAGGTAGATGGAAAAAGAAATTGAAAATACTTCCCTAACAACACTTATATAACATCTCGATTTCAATTTAAAAATAAATTTTCAAAATTTAAATTTTATAATTCAGTGTTTAAAATAAGGTTTCTTTAAACCTATCAAACATTAAAAAATTAATTTCTGGAAAGTTTACTTTAAAATTAAATTTTTGAAAGCTATCGATAACGAGACTTTTGATTTATTCAAAGTCATTTTCTCTTGTGAGAGACAATGAGAAACTATACAAATGAGAAACTATTCAAAGCCATTGATAGATAAATTTTTAATGAAAGTATTTTTGAAAAAAAAATTTAAAAAAAATATGGAAGTGGCTGATAAAAAAATTCAAGTGCAAAAAGTAAGGTCTAACCTTAAACCCTAAAAACATTATTTTGTTTAAGTGATGAATGGAGAAAGGAGTGGTTCATTTTTTATCACTGAAAAGGGTGTGTTTGAGCCCAAAACAAAACGAAAATGGGTTGTGAAAGTGGGTCAATGGGTTGAAGCATTTCTTGTCATAAATTTTGCCTTCATTTCCTTATTTGGCTTTAGAAAGACAGCACTGAAAATGGTTCTCAACCCTAAAGCTGTGTAACTCTTTTGCTAGGGCTAAGCAAAAAATCGATATAGAGATATGATCCATAACTAAAAATAAATTAGTTTTAAAATTTAAATTTTTAATCAAACCAGATATTTAGATTCAGTTTATTTACTATCTAGATTTAGACCATATTTTATTTAATATATCTAGAATTTATTTATTAAAACTGCTTTGTTTTAGAAATAACTGGCATAGACCCATATAATGTTCCATTACAAGTCACAGGAGCATTCAATGTAACACTCTAAAATTAAAAATCCATACAATGTATATTTCATCCTTTATAATTTGAGATAAAATAAGAATTTTGCGTATAATGGGATTTATTATGACAAATCAATGAAGTTTTCTATAAATAGACGTGTAGATAAGAATTTCAAACTTTACAATGCTAATAGAACAATAATAATAAATTATGGAAAGAATAAATAAATATCACAACTAAAATTTCATTATTCTCAATGGGAAATCTGAATATGTATTACATATATCAAATATATACAAATTTACAAACTTTTTATCAAAATATATGAGACTTAAAATAATATTTACATATACATAATATATGCAAAATTAAACCGCAGAGCAGTCTCAAACATAACTCAACATTGAAGATCAGTTCTATTCATCAACCTCGTGCCAGCTTTCTATCTTAGCCAAATCTTCCGAATCGAGATTATCATCTAATCTCAAGTAGCGATCGCCTGAATCAACTGTGACCTCTGTGCCAGTAATGCGCTCAGAGGTCCATCTAGATGGTCTTCCAATGTGGTCGTGGTCGTGATAGGTAAATAGATAGGTGAGAGCTGCCAGAGTTCTAACCGTACTTTTATACATATAAATACATAGATTCTACTCCTAGGAAAATCAAACGAGATACTACAAAAGAAATTTATTTCTAACATAACAAAAATTCTATGTTCATCTTCTACAAGAACAGCAAATTTAAAATAACATACTCTTTGATATTCATTAAATACACGATTTAATCTATTATGTATTGATCTATGTATTAATTTAACTCTTCCCTGAGGTTCCATCATCCTATTTTTCTGAAAATATTAGTAAGGATGAGCGTCTATTCTATCCTTTTCCAAACATTATATCACAAAATCATAATTTATAGTATAAATGCAATATATCCATTTTCATATTAAATTTACATTTCAAACATATTCACGCACACATCATTCACAATTTATTATCTATTATCCATTCTTTCATTTCAAATACATACTCCAGTGCACTGTGATCACAGATATCGATGCTTCTAGCATTTCTTGAGGTCTTACTCAACTAGGTAAATAGTCGTTGGTTAGTCCATGCACACGGATACAACATGTACAATAATCGGGCCCCTTAGCAAAGACATAGCCAAGAGTCTAGTTAGGAAATTAGTGTGAGGCCATGTGACACATTTGCTCTTAGAGTGTGTACACATACGCGATGTAGCTCACCACCGTACTTTTCACCCATATTTTCATTGTCTTGGAACTCTATACTCTCAATGTATCTCTATAACTATTCACACCAGGTCCAATCCATATTCGACACTTAAGGTCTTTCTCAGAGTCATTCCTTTTTCCTATTCATAAGAACGTGTTTAGTAAAGCACTTCTAGAGTAATTTCATTCCAATCCATTACACTCATACACTTATTAATATAGTTGCAACTGTTAAATCCTTCAGATCAATCCCATACTTTATCATATCATTTCATTCAGGCATATTCCATATAATTACATCGCAATCATTTAGCAAGTATGATAATATTTCACAGTGAGTGCTCGTTATATAATGCATATATCAACCATTTATTCTAAACAACCAATCAATCTAAACAATCAAACAAACATCTTTTCATTTATTATTCATACAATAACTATCACAACTACATATTCTCTTAAAATGTTCATATATAAGTACTCTAAGAGCACAAAATAAATACCATAGTATAACGATAAAATAAAACCCTCCTTACTCAAAGATGCTTTCATAAAGAGATATTGAAAATGATTAAAGGTCAGCTATGGAAGTTCTCTTGAATACCAAGAGATATCCATAAAAACAAAAACATGAAAAACGATAGGAGTAAACAACGTTTTATTCAGAGAAACTTACTTGGAGTCGTTTAAATTCAATGTCCAAGTTTAGATTTGAAAAGAAATCGAAGTTTCTAAGACTTTTATCTAAATAATAGAAAAGAGAGTTCAGAGAAAACTCTGAGAGGGACGTGAGTTTAGAATGAAATAAAATTTTTATGATGGAAATCTCTTAAATACCCCTTACTCTCGCACGCTTTCGCTTGAGCGAAAAACATCTCGCTTGAGCGACGGACATCTCGCCTGAGAGAGATATGTAGAAAGTGGTCACCCACTATTTTCTGATATGCTTGCTTGAGTGAGCTCCATCTAGCCTGATTAAGGGAACATGATATTAATAATATTTTCAAGAAAAGTACATTAATAATATTTCCAATTCATCAAAATATATATTTTTAAAAATTTATAATTAAAAATGTAATAAAAATAATATAAAATCAAAAAATTTATTACATAATAATTATACTAATTTAGCATCTAAAGCTAATTTAACTAAAATTATATATTTAAAATTAGTTTTAAATCAAATTCAAATTTTAAAACAAGTTTAAAACTAATTTAAGAAAAAAATAAATTAGTTTAAAATTCAAAAAATAGATTTAGATCGGTTATGAGCAAATTTAATCCACTCTCACCCCTCTCTTCTGCCATGTTTTCTACTCTTCTTTTTTGGCGACAGTGAGAAATCACAAACCTTGCTGCCCTAAGGTCTATTTTTCTACTCTTCGTTTCGTTTTAAATTTTTTTAGAGATTGTCTTTGTACAATTATTCTATGTGGGTATTGTTGTAGCTTTCATACCGGGAACTGCAGTACCATTTTTGTGCTGATTTTTTCCCCTCTCTGTTTCATTTTGTTTGTGGTAATTTCATGGGTTTGGCTTGTGTGGTTCATTAATTTCTTCCCTTTTCGTAGTTTCGTATTCATTGTAGTCATTAACATTTGGAAAAGTTTATGCTTTTGGCAACTGGGCATCTTTTGATTTTTCAGGAAAGTAAAGGGAGGGGTGTTCTGAAAAGAATCGTGCTTCTAAGGGTAATTTTGGAGTGTAGATAGTTACATGGCTGTTCAACTTTTGTTTTTGTGTTTATTAGCAATGTTGCCTTGTCTTATATGAGTATGAACTACGAATTTTCTTTAATGTAAAATAGTTATGAATTTTTTATTGGCATACACTATTACGTTATTGACTATCCCAAGCATTGATAATGTTTGTGTATGACTTTTGCTTATTAAAGAGTATGTCTTAACTATATAAAAAAAAAAAAAGAGTATGTCTTAAGTGTAGGTAACATTTTATTTTTGAGCATTTACATGTGTGCACTACAAATCCTTTATCTTGCGTCGTTAATATTTGATATAGCAGACTTATCACTGTCTGCTTTACCGTGATAGCATTTTTGAGCTCAGCAGCTTTGTGATGCTGTTTGTGATTGGTAACTATATAGTCTTGGATGGTAAAGTGAAATAACATACTAATAGATTCGTAGTTAAATAGCTGTCTGCATTTATGTTTAAACCTGAGGCATCGTTTTGCTACCAAGGTTGCTATAATTTCATCAAAAGGTCCTTGACACATTATTCTATCCCCATGCATAGTTTATAAACATAGGATTTTATGGTGGCCTAAAATGAACGTCTGGATGTCATTCAATTTTTTGTTTTGGTTGTTGAATCATTGGTAGGGTTCACACAGTTAAAACATAAAACATGAAAATGCTTAGCCCTGTTTGTGCATTCTGTCATGCTCTTCTCATGCCCTCATTGAAGCTGTTATGGGAAAGTTGGCATTCTGCACTTGTGCCTGCAAATTACTTCCTTGTGGTTTAGGTGCCATTTAATGGTAACCACTTTTTGATGGAATAGGAATAAGAAAAAGGACAAAGTGTTCTCATTTTTGTAATGCATGTTTAGTTTTCTTGTATGATGGACCTTGGTTTTATTTTATTCTATGTTTTTAAAGGGATTTGCTCTTTAGGAGGAGCAAAAAGGAAACTCCTTGTGTTCTTATATCGGCTCATTTTGGAGGCAATTCCACTGGATGTCTTTTGCTGTATTCTTGAAGTGAATTAATATCAGTGAGCTTTTCATTCTGAAACTTTTGTTCTGTTAATCTTGCTGTATGGATTCGAGCTGATGCTGCTTTTATTTGCAAAATTTTAATGGTTTTAATTCCTTTTTCATTTTATAATTCTTTTAGGTACTGTGTCTTGCTCCTGCAATTTTTGTAAGTATTCATGTCCAATTCCTTTCTCATCTTTCTCAGTATTGATGGCATTGATGGTCCTTGGCTACCAGTTTCTAATATGGTCATTCCTATTTAGTCCTTGTTTGTTTTGAAATTCAAATATCAAGTTTACAATTGCATTAAAGTTTCCTGCTGTGTGTTTCTGATGTTTAGGACAACATTTTCATTATAGGGTTCTGGGCCATTGTTGTTTCTTCTGATTTATAAGCATGGTGTTTCAAAACAAAATATTCTCTATTTTATTTTGAGAATAGGACTCAGTTCATATGTTCTGAATCTGTTTTATATTTTCTGTTCAGTTTGCTCCATTCCATTTCCCATGTCAATTGGGTTTTTTATTTAGCATTCTGAAAGAAATTTTCACTTATATTTTGGGTACACTTCTTTCTCTCTTATTTTTTTCTTAGAAAGTCTTATGCTGTATATTTGGTTCATACATTGTCTCTGTCTTTTGATTGAATGACTTTTTTCTAGCGAAACCCAATTGTGTTTGTTGTTCGGTTTTACATTAACTAGTTTATACTTTTTCTTCCTTGCACAATGTAAGTGCATTGCAAGGCCATAAGAAAAATATTTTATATTGATATAAATTTTATAAAATTAATGATTTTTTTGTTATTATTAAGTAGTTTTTGCATCCAAAATCATGTCACTTTCTCTCAACAGAATATGCCTTCAAAACACAATGAATTAAAAGTGGATGAAGAGGATGATAATTCAGTGGTACAACTTCCGGGAATTCCACTGGCACCTCGTGACCAAAGTTCAAAAAATGGAGTGTATTTCATTCTTGAGAAAGCTTCACTGGTTGCTGCATATGTTGGCAAAGTTAGTTTTCTTTCCTAACTGGGCCATGCCCCTCTCTATTAGTCAGATTCATGTTCTGATGAATTTTCCACTGAAAAGAATGAAAATTTGTATTTTATAAATGTCAATAGCATTTTTGAGTGTTTATATTGGTAAGCGTTTTTCCATTTAAAAATAGGAAATACAGTATTTAAAATCAACATCAGCTTCAAAATAGTAATTTTTGAAAAAAAAAATGCTTCTATATTCAGATTGTGTTTGAATAGAGAAACATTGAGTGAAATATAAATATATATATATATATATAGATTTTCTAAGTGCTCTAATTTTAGCTTGATAATGTGCTTTTAAAAGTCATGAGAAGCTTGTCCATTGATTAGAAAACAAAACTGCCTTCTTCTCTATGCTTCTTTTCAAGAGAGATACTCTATCTAACATCTTTTCAAACTCTACCTTTAAGTAGCTTTTCTTCCTAATCATTGCAATTACATGGCTTATTTCAGAAATACCAAATTTTGAATCCAGATGAGCATGCCAATTTTTTGCGGAGGAAAAATTTGAATCCTTATGATTATAGGCCTGATATTGTTCACGAGGTTAGCTACTGTTTTCATTCCTTGATGCTGAGTTGGTGTCTTCATTTTATGTTTTGGGGATTTTATTCTTGAATTGCCCGAAGGCAGGAATGTGGAGACAAGGGCTATAGACTCCTTGTGAGTTATGACTTATGAGTAACATGAAATTGGTAGAATGGTAATTTTTGCACAATAGTTGGATGTGAAATAATTCCTACTATGAATTTTCTGGTCTTGTACTCTGTATGAATCTAATTACAACCTAGCCGTTGGTTGGTTCTCTGACTAATTTTATTTTTGTATTCTATTCTATTGTAGTTTTACCTTGAATAAGTATTGTATACCACCTCTAAGGGTTTGAAAGTTTTTATCTTGTTTTTCTTGATTAATTTGACTCTAAATGTTAATGACTATAGGCTCTCCTTCAAATTATGAGTAGTCGGCTTCGCATGGCTGGTAGATTACGTGCTGTATTCATCAGGACTGATGAAGGAATTCTTATTAGAGTCGAACCTCAAACTCAAATACCAAAAACACTGGGAAGCTTTTGTAATATGATGGGTAAGTTTTTCTATTCATAATTATATTACTGTATTTGTTAGGACTGCAGTTGAGAATATGGACTCAAAATGGTCAGTTGGTCTGTCAATTGGCCAAGCCCATGCTATGGAGAGTTTACACTAGAAGAAATAAGAAGTGTATAGGCAAGGAGATTAAATGCCAGAGAGAGAAGAGAGTTTGTTAGCCAAGTGATTAGGAGTTTGTTATAGTGGTATAGGTGTGTGAAAGAGGGGTATCTTTTCAAAATCGAGAAGTTGGTTATGGATAGAGAGCTAATGCTCTCTGTAGAGCCTAGCTCTTTGGCAGTAGTACTCATTCTATTGATTTTCCTTTTCATATCAAATAATACCAGTATTATCTATTTTTCTTATTTGAGTTGCTTTATTTTCCTGTTGGTTTAACTCGTTTGCATCAATATTACTACATAATCCATCCATATTCCTGGTTCTTGTCATCATATCAACATCTTTGCCTATCCCTATTTTGAAATATTCAATAATTATTGTAGCGGAGTTGCTGCAAAAGTTCAGTATCAAGTCAAAGAATGGTCAGGGAAAGCTTTTAAGGTTAATTGAAAACCCTGTGACTCATCACTTTCCTGTCAACTCCCGCAAAATAGGTGAGTATTAAAATTAGGCAAATGCTAAAATGCCAATGTCTTTTGTGAAGAGATTTTATGTGCTGCCTTTATAATGTTGTAGGTCTTTCTTTTAGTTCGCCCAAGGCAGTTCATTTAAGAGACTATGCTGATGCCGTTAATTGTGATGAGAACCTTGTATTTGTTGTAAGCTTTTGTGAGCCATCATGCGTGTTTTTAAGATGAGGCTTATTCTGTCATTTCACTAATTGATTTGTTTAACAATTATTTAGGTTGGTGCAATGGCTCATGGAAAAATTGATGTTGACTACATTGATGATCTTATATCAGGTTATTCTTAAATAATTCTGTATTTATTTGAGATTCAAGTTTTAACTTGTGGCTACAATGTTTTGTCATATTGTATAAGATAGAATAAATGATGTGTATTGTTAATAGTGATTGGTATGTGTTTTCTATATAATCCACCAATCTAATTAGTGAATGTATTGTTGTTTCACTATTTAGCAATTTGAATAAGATTTGGATAGGAAAATTCAAAATTTTGAATAGATGAATTATCTGTAGTTTTATGATAAAATTCTTATAATTTCATGTTTGGGGTAAGAAGAACATCCATAAAACACTTCTCTTCTTAATAAAAACAGACAACTTGTAGTAAAGCTTCACATGTTAAGAAAAGGTCTATTGTGATTATGTACACAGAACATAAAGTGAAGTTTTTTTTTTTTTTTTTTAATTAGTTGCCTGTTCATAGGACTTAGTCCTCATGATCATGGTATTTAAATTGTAAGCTGACACATAATCACATGATTCTATGATCCTAGTCCCTCAACCTGTGTGGGCTTGCTTGCAAGTAGAATTGGAGATTGGTCAAATTGCAAATGCAACCCTAGAACGGCTATAGGAGAATAGTGGATAGCAAGATGATTGCTATTCTAAAGATTTAAAAGACACCCATTGTCATAATGCATTTTGGTTTCCATCAATAATACTTTATTGATTTATAGATTTAAAACTGAGCATACTTTTATTTTAAGATGGGGAATACATGTTGATTCTTGATTTTTGGAGGGTATATAGTCGGTTGCATCACATTCTTCTCCTTTCTCTACTTTTGTGATTAAAGGGTGTTCAGCTAAGTTTTATTGATAGTACTTTGTGCTTCTACTGATATTATCATTCTTGTTAATTTCATAGTTCAAGTATTATTATTTGATTTCTAAAGTTCTTTGTTTTGTGTTGTATAGTTTCAGCTTATCCGTTGAGTGCTGGGACTTGTCTTAGGCGGATCTGCATTGCGTTAGAGAGAAATTGGAAGATCCAATGAATTTGAAGTTTTTATTTTTGATTAACGAGTATATATAAGGCGAGTGTTTCCCTTGGTATCTATTTTCATTTTAAAATATTTGATGATTCTCTTAATTTAAAATTTCCCATTTGCCTATAAACCTCTCCATCTAAATATATTCTTGTGGGCGGATGAGTGGTACTGATATTCTTGTTAGGGCATATTTTCTCTAGTTTGATAAACAAGATTTTGTATCTAAAATCAATGTGTATAATTAGAAAGTTAAAAATCGATATAAAAATAAGGTTTATATAAGGATTTAGTCTCTTAACAAAAAATTGTGAATTTTTTATTTGATCCTCCATTTTTATTTTTCATGTAATTCCTCTATTAGCAGAAGAAATTCCAAAATCTATGATAAAAGAGTCATAAGATAGAAATTCTAAATAATAAGTTTGAGTATTTTAAAAGGAGCTGATAAGAAAATTGTAATTTAGAATATTCATTATTTATCTCTTTGTTCAAATTAGTGTCTATCATAAAGGAAATGCGTACTTCTTTTATTTCCTCAAAATTTAAGTCAGGTAACTTATTAACTAGTCTTGCCAAATTGATAGTAGCCCTTTATTCCTCTTTTAAGACAGAAGTAAGAAAATCTAAGAAATTTCTAAGACATTCCATCAAGGATCAATTTGCTGGAAACAAGAAATAAAAAAAAGATAGATGTATAGAACACAAAAAATAAAAAAAAGATAGATGTATAGAACACAATAAAGCTGTATACATAGTTTTGCATCGCTGCTCCAACCACAACCCTATTTACGAGACAAGGTATTTTATCTTTCTCTCCACAAATACACATTTCCTATTGTTTCAGCATTTTTCCAATCCTCCAGTTGATTAATAACTAGCTATTTTTGTCCTCACCTGACATTAACTTCAGCAAATACAGAAGCAACCAAGAAAGAGAGACTACTGAAAACTGGCTCTATAGATGTCAACATGATGATGCACCAAACACCCTCAACAATAACAAGCATACACGGGTTTTTTTGCTCAATGTGATGGGATGAATCTATACAGCCTTCAAATTAGCAATTTTTTTTTGCCTTTTAGGATTTTCTATTTTTGGACCTGCTTATTTAAGCTTGGAATTCATAACTTTATTCTAAGATTTGGGCTAAATTTTTCTCTTTTATCTCTGAAGCACGGGTACCCCATTTTTTATGGAGTACTAAAGGTCATGCAAATCTCCTCGTCTAGTTCTTTGTATTTTAAATTTTCTTCAAATTCAAATTGTTATAATAAAGTCATCCTATTATAGCGGTTTAGTATGCACTAAATCTCTATTATAAGGAACAAGTTTTTATATTTTATTTTTTATAATAAAATTATAATGCCATATTTTCACGACTTATACCAAATTGCTACATTAGAGTATCAAGTTTTTATTTTTATTTAAATGAAATTGTAAGGTTCTATTGAACTACTATAATAAAATATAGTTTGTTTTAAAACAAAATTATAAGGTCCTATTATACAAGATAAACTAAAATTACCACAATTAAAGTTAATTTTTATATAAAAAATTATAAAACAATAATAAGTATGATTGCTTCTTGTTCCCCTCCTTAAAGTTGGGTATACTTGAAAAATATGGTGTTTACAAGAAGGTCAATGATGCAGAATGTGGCAGCATAATAAAAACTAAAATAGGACAACAGATAGCAGGTGTTTTAAAAAATCTTGGACTAACCTTTGTTTTTTGAGCTTGTTTTATGAGTCTTGAAGGGATTGAATATTGTTTGAAGACTAGGATTCAAACACATCAAATTACAATTAAATTCCTTGATGGTAACTAAAGTCATTTCAAGCAATGATGAAGAAAGGAGCTATCAAAAGAAAGTCAGATTGACATAGCCAAATTTGTATTGATATACTTGCTAATATGACTTGTCATCATAACTTTGCCTTATTAGTTCATTCTTAACCTTATTAGAATTAGAGCAACTATTGTTACCTCATGTAATATGTATTTTTACACAACATAGTATTCATTTGTAATCTTATTTTTAGGCTTTAGCTTCCTTTGTTACCCAAAAAAAAAATAAAAAATAAAAAGAAAATAATTATTCCATTATTGATATTATTGAGATAGAAATGGAAAAAAATTATCATTTTATTCCCAATTCAAAAGAAAAAATGAAAATAATTTAAGCTAATTATTTTATTTTAATAATTTAAATGATAAAATACTATATGTTTTATTTTTATATTATATTTTACTCTTTCATTAATCTAAATATGATCATAATCTAATCATTACGAAATTTTAACTAGGAAGTAATGAACAAAAGAGCAATTTAAAATTTTGTAGGGACTTATCTGCAACATTGTAGGATAGGCAGAAATCCATATTAAGTTATTCCGTACGTACGTGAGGAAGTTTTCACAGCCTGCATGCTAAAATTAAAAAAAAATTATAGAAAAAGTGCTCCCTTTGGTGTCTTTACTCTCTCTCTTGATGCAAGTTGAACGGACCCACTCGGAGATGTCGGCCACACGCGGGGAAGATAAAAGGGTCTGGTGGGTCACACCTCGGAAGTGTCGTTTTCTTGCTGAGTAATCTCTCATTTGATTTTGAACCACGAGATGATTTTCCCGGGGTAATGTGATGCTTCTTCTTTTTCATTTTTTTTCTGGTCAAATTACTATATTGCTGGATTTGTGAAATGTAGATATGATATGATTGATTCTTGATTCTTAGACTTCCTACCGGTAAGGAAGTAAGAAACTCGTCAAAGTCGTGGAAATGGAGGTGTTCATAGTTAATTGTTCGGCGACAATGAGCATTAATTTTAAATGCGGCCCCAATTAGGGTAAAATTACCTGATATGTCTCACTTTTTAAATAAAATACAATCAGTTCTCAACATTGTAATCTACCATCCGATCTTGGAGAATTGTCCTATTTTCTGGGATTGAATGTCACAACCAAAAGTGGCATTCTCATGCCCCAGAAGAAGTTTGCCGCTGATGTACTAAAAAGATTCAACATGACTGATTGCATGAAACTTGACAAGGAAGGACATTAAGAGTCTGTTGATGCTACTCTATACAAACAAATTGTGGGATTTCTGGTATTTTTGTGCAACACTAGGCCTGGCTTGGCTTACAGTGTTGGTTTGGTAAGTAGACACATGTAAGAGCCTAAGAAATCTCATCTCATGGCAGCTAAGAGAATTCTAATGTAACATCAGACTTAAGGATTATTTTTTTTAATAACCAAAACAATGTAGCAGCTGATATCATTGTTAGTTTCTCTGATTTTGATTGGTGTGGAGATAAAAATGATCGCAAGAGCACTGTGTTCATGATTGGGAAGACACCAATAGCTTGGTGTTCCAGTAAACAAACTGTGGTGGCCTTGTGTACATGTGAAGCTGAGTACATGTCAGCCTCAATGGAAGCATGTCAAGTTATGTGGCTTGAGAGTTTGCTCGAAGAAATGAATCTGAGAGGATTACATTCCATGAAATTGCTAATTGATAATAAATCAGAAATCAATTTAGCGAAGAATCCAGTGGCGCATGGAAGAAGTAAGCATGTAGAGACAAGGTTTCATTTCCGGTGAGATCAAACGAACAAGGGTAGACTTGAGCTGCTCTACTGCAAATCAGAGGATCAAATCTTTTACTTTGAGCTCTCAACCTAGTCCTTTTAGGGACACGAATGTACACAGATATATAGCTAAGAGTAAGACTGTTAGGAAATATTTGAAGTCTTTAGTCGGTGAGCCTGTTTTAATAAGGTGCCACGAAGCCTTAAGTCGGTGAGGCTGTGTTAGTAGGTTGCCACGTGTTTTTAGTTGGGTTTATCAAATCTGTTAGGTGTTAATTGTGACAGTTTTGTTATAAATAACAACTCTGATGTTAGATTGGGGTATCATGTACTTCATTCATAAAATTCTTGTAATTCTTTTCTTCATCTTAATAAATCCATTTCGGGGCCTTTCATTATATGGTTCCCAATTCTTCATCAAGTTCTTCGAGTTTCTGCATTCCTAGAACCAGAAAAATATTACAACAAAGACATGGAAATTTTTTGTAGATGAATTATTCGGAGCTGGAAGAATAACCAATCCTAACAACGATCAAGTGATTTGGCACAGAATAACTGACTTGTCAAGCATAGTGTCCGCTTTACCTGCAAACTCACGAAAAATAGGTATGAACTATTACATGTTTGCATTTCTTTTGGGTTCCAATTTGACTCGAGTAATTTATTGGCTGGCATGGATGTGAAATTGTAAATTTAGGCTGCATGCATGGTGCTCGTTCCCAAGGGTTCACAAACTTCGAAGACTACATCACAGCTGCTTCTGGTGAACAGATTTATGTGTTTGTGGTGCGTAAGAACTGACTGCTCCTTTTATTTCATATGCCCAGTGTTTGTGCCTGATCGCGCGCGCGTGTGTATATATATATATATATATATATATAGTATGTTAGGTAAAGTGGCAAAGAGGTAAATGTCACTAAAGTATTATTTACTTCCTCAAAGAAGTATTATTTACAATATTTTTTTTTTCTAAACTTTCTCAAAAATTTACAAATAAATTATTTCATCAAAATAAACTAAATCAAATTCGTTGAAGTCCCTTCCTTGTGGATGTGAATAACACAACCCCTGGAGTTGTACTCATCAGTGGCCAAAATTGTGGTTCAGTTTTGAAATTTAATAACCTCTTGCCACGTTAATAATTACATTCATACTTTCATACCCTAAGACTACAATAACTAAAAGAACTTGCTTGTTTTTCTCTACCATTATACATTGAAATCCTTGCCTCCTGCTCTAAGTTCACTAGATCTCCTCAAATGACAAGTTGTCCTCAATCCTAGACATAGCAAAAATAGAATACCAAAAAGCACATGGGGCACTATGAACGTTGCACTGGAACGGTTGCTGAAGCCTATCCATTCCTTTGTCATACGATTAAACCTCATGACATGTGAAGCCCTTGAATTCTATATCAACTCCACCTAAGATGACATATGCCTGTTGCCAGTTCCCAGTTCCCACGACTGTAATCATTAAGCATTTCAATATTTCATGCAACAGGAATTTTAGGTTCTCCTAAGTTTACAAAAGCCTCTGCCCTTGTCATACGTTCTGTTGCAGCATTCCAAGACACAAGGTGGTTCATAAATACATCCACATACTTTGCTCTATCATTCTGCCCAATAGTCACACAATGATTGTTAGGTTAATCCATTAATGGAAAATAACTGACAATCTACAATCATTACGTACCCTGTAATCCAGATAGTATGCATGCTGCAGTAAAGAAAGTGACAGTCAGTTAGTGATGACTACAAAACAATGTTAATTTTGTTTGAGCTGTGGGAGAGAGAGAGGCATACCTCCCACAAATCCAAATTGATAATTGGCTGCATGAGAAAAGATTATTAACTCCATTTCCAATATTAAATCAAACAAGTTTAATGGAGGAGGTGGAAATTAACTTACTATATCATCCCAGACAATTGGGCAAACCGCATTTGTAGTTTTCACTATGGCTAGTCGTTTCTCTTCTCTCTTCACTATGACAATCAAGGAATATTAGCAACAATCACCACCAGCATTAGTAAAGCAAAATATCAAAGGTTAAATTTAAGATAATATACATCAGCTTTTTTCTACCCAACTGGTCTTGCAATGCAATTACTCTGGAATTAAACCCGCTAACAAGAGAACCTCAAGCATAGAATAATTAAATATTCTCAAAGAGAATTTAACAACCACTCCAAGAAAACACAATTGAGGTTCTTATTTTTAAATCTTACATTTAATTTACACAGATGCATATCATCAGGGAAATTCAAGGATTTTATGGTAATTAATTAGGAATTTGAATAATGCAGTATTGAGAAGAAGAAAGAGGGGAGGGGGGAGAATCAATTAGGAATGGACTTACAAACTAGCCAAACCCAGCCAGAACCAAATACTGTGAGTGCTGCATGTATAAATTTCTCTCTAAAATTTGCAAATGATCCAAAATCCTTTTCAATCTGTTGAAGGAGACCTGGTTGGGGCAAGCCACCCCCTCCTGGTTGGATAGATTCCCAGAAGAAGTCATGATTCCAAACCTGGGTGTAAAAGAATTGACCATACAGCATTTAAATATCAAAGCATATAGCAACAAAGCAGCCACAATTGTAATTTGGATTAGCTTCCTCATGCAGATAGGAAGGACACCTAATTCCATGCTAAATAGAAAAAACAACTAACCCTTATCTCACTAGGTGAGGTTGGCTACATGAATCACATGATGCTACTGAGCTCGGTTAAAAATAAAACTTTCAGAAATTTGATTAATCAAAATGTTTCTTTTAATAATTTTGTGTAAGATTTTTTTGGGTTTCCTTCGACTTCTCTTTGTTGAACTAAGAGTCATACAATTCTCTTTTTCTTATTGGTGCCTTCAAATGTCTTTTCTATATATAACCGAACCACCTTAGACAATTTTCAATCATTTTTCTCACTATAGGTACTATTCTAACATTCTCTCGTATATTATCATTTTGTATCATGTTCTTTCTCATATGTCCACGCATTCATCTTAGCATTCTCATTTCTGCCACTCTCACTTTTTTCTTGTGTTATTCCTTTAAGACCTAGCATTCACTACTGTATAGGATAGTTGGTCATATTTCCGTAAGGTAAAACTTTCCTTTTACCTTGATAAGGACAAATAGAAAAAAATACAAAATAAAATAAAATTGATAAATATTTCAAGGAAGAAAAAAGACTACTACAAGATAGAGAAGGAAATTGTTTATTAAAGACAAGTATAAATGAAAATGGTGCAGGAAGTTCTAGTATATTTACAGCTTACAAACAACTTTTAGAGCCCTAAATTTTAATAAAGGAAAAATAAAAATGAAAAGAGAGAGAGATATCAGATAAGTAGCAGAAACATCACAATTCATGCTCTCAAAAAATATAGGAAAATTTAGGAATTGTTTGGTTTCAGGAAATATTCTCTGTTTTCATTTTATTTCCTATTTTTAAAGATTGGTACAAGAAACACTAGAAAACAACTTTTTTTCTGTTTTCACTATTTATTGTACAAATCTTAGTAGAGTTCACAATATGGGTTTAACCCGTCAGATAAATTCACCTAACCCACCAAATTTGGCAAGATGGGTTACAATTTCAAACTCGACAACTACTTAACCAGTGTCCACTTACTTCGCATTTTAAAACAAGTTAGAGGGGGGGGCATGGCTAATTGACTTGTTGAGTCAAAAATTGTAAAAGGAATAATAATAATTTAAAAAATATATAATTGAATAAATATTAAAGTTAAATCTTAATATTACTTAAATTAGTAATTTATGTAGATTAAAATTTAATATTATATATTTTATAATTTTTGTTTAATTTATATGATATTAATTTTTTAAATATTTAAGTGGGTCCCTATTAATAAAACGGGGCAGATTGATGTTTTCAAAACCTACTTAAAAAACAGGATAAGTTGAATCAAACCCATTTTTTAATGAGTTTATGGTGAGGCGTGACAAAACGGGATGGGTTGACCCGTTTTGTCATCCCTATTCCCTAAATCTTAGAAAACAAGAGAAAAAATGAAATCAAAGTGGTAGCTTTGTAATTTAAAATAAAAAACAGAAAATATTTTCAAAAACCAAACAGGCCCACCATCAAAGCTATTCAGACTTTTTTAGCAATAAATTCCTATCCTAAGACCTAAAGCAGTAGCATTTCAACAAATCATCCCTGATCCTAAGTTCAATCCCTCCCTGCAAACACATAGACAATTATCCCAATATTTCAAGAAGGATAAAGTCCTTTAATAACTTTTGAAGCTTGAAGTTTAAATTTTGTGCATTTGAAAGTGTTAATAATTAATAAATACCTTGGTTTGTATAAAATGAAGATTATTGACTCTCATTGAATATATAATCAAGTATTATTACTATTACTTGTCAATGGATACATTTGTTCGGTGTTGCAAAAACTAAATGTGACGTACATTACACTTAATTACCTTGAGATTTACCTAAATTACTCTCACCTACCCTCTTCAACTTTTCTATACATTCATATACCATTAATGTAGCCTTGTGTAGAAACAAAATGATAAAGATAAGGAAGCAAATGTAATTTCTGAAGCAAGATGAGAGGTGATGACAATCACAATTCATGTTGCCGAATTAATGATTGTGAATTGAATTTCATACAACAAAAAATAGAATTATTAGGATAAAAATAGAAATTGAGACAAGAAGAAAAATAATAAAAGCGAAAATAGAATAGAGATAGAGAAGATGGTTGTTACCCTATTTGAAAGTAAACCTAATTCAAAGTTTGAAAAACCAAAGATAGTTAATTGCATACGCTTAAAGAACATGGACTCCCATTAGGATTTAATTATCATGTTTCATTTAGTTATTTTAATGTTAGTCATTATTACTTTGAACTTTTATTTAGGGTAAAAAAACTTGTTGTTTTATTTAGTTTATTTGGTCTTGAGCTTGTTAGCACAAGAAGCCCAATTAGGATTGTGTTTATATTGATTTATGAGCGTTAGATATATATAAGCTCTTGTAAACATACTTTTAATTAGTTTTGAATACAATTTGAGATTAAATACTCTTTTGAGAGTGTGTGACTCTAAGTTCTTAAGTGAATCAATTTTCCTTAATCTTATAAAAAATCAAGACTCTTATGGCGATCATTGGTTTGGCTTATCAATCTTACGATTGTGGCGCCATTTTCTTCATTTCTATTCTATTTTCGCTTTTATTATTTTTCTTCTCGTCTCAATTCCTATTTTTGCTATAATAATTTTACTTTTTGTCATATGCAATTCAATTATTCAGCAACATAGATCGTGACTGTCATCAAGAGGTAAACATAATTCTGCAAATCTTAGAGGGGGTTCAATCAACATTGTGTATGTTATTATTTTACTATACAATAAACATTGGAACATTTTGAATAGTTTTATATGAATAAGCAAGCAGCTCCACAATCAACTTAAAATGATCACATCTAATTAGTACCTCAGCTGCATTGTTGAATTCAGGTAAAGGATTGCCGTTGTTGTATGTCACTTTGATTAGTTCATCCATGGTGTAACCATATAGTATATCATCCTTCTCCAATTGCTTGTTCAAACCTTCTATAAAATTTCGATGATACTCTCCCCAATGCATGTCAATTGTCCTCTTACTCATATATGGTTCTAATGCATCCTAGAAATATTGAAGCAACAAATAAAGTGAGAATTATCAATTATGATAAAAGGGGCTACTAGTAGCTGTCGTTGTGGATAATGTTGAGCATCAAGTTTATAAGGGCAACAAAAGGTTTCTAGGATTCCCAATTATCAATTTATCATATGGGATCTTAGGTCTTATAAATTCTAACATAGTGTCCTAAACAGTGAATGGAGCCTTTCTTATTTCTCTGAACTCTCCCATCCTTAGAAAGTTATAATTAATTGTCACTTTCCTCTCATGCTCTCTCTAAATAATATATGTTCCTCATGCAGTAAAACGTAATAGTATCTTGTTTCCATTTCTTCCATGATAGGTACCTTAACAAATAAAGTGAAGGTGTTCAACTATAGGGCTAAAGTAGAGAAGGAGGAACAAGAAGGAATACCAAGACTCGGTTAGGATAAACTTACCAATGCGTATTTATAAGAAAAAAAATAAACTAAAATAAATAAATAAAATTTTAATAAGTTAACATCAATTTATGCACCTCATCATTCTTAGAAGCTCTTTTATTTAACTTCTCCAAAAGCTGAGATGCACAACTTGATTTTAACTTTGAGGAGAAGTTTGATTCATTTGATTTTCCTCTTTCTTCCCCTATAAGTACTTATTGAAAAGTTTATTCAAATTGGGCCCGAGTATAATTAGATTTTGTTGATACTGGTGTATAATGATGTGATGCAAGACACAAAGCACTAACCCTTATTTATACTAGTACAAGTACAAGATTCTTAACCCTAATCAAATAATGAAATAAATCAGAAAAGATGGTGAAATCTGGAAATAACTGTTAAAAGATCATTTAAGGTACTCTAAAATACAAGATACAACAAAGACATCATAAGATATTCTCTAGATATTCTAATAGATAGCATTCTTCTTTATCTCAATTGACAAGATGGTTGTAATAAAAATAATAAGAAAAAAAAAAAAAAGTTTATCTAAGAGAAATAAATTTTGACATAAAATGCTTTCCAAAAAGTAAGTTACCTTTCAAAGTTCGTTTAAGGTTGGATGTAAGGCGACCATAGTCATTGTAACTAGCACTAGCTTAAACAGAACTGTAAATGACGATTTAACCTACAAATGCAATTATTTCTGACAAGCTTACTGCTGCAGTAGCTGACTCAACTAACCCATGCATACAGGCCAAAACAGTATTAATTATCTCCAAACAATAGCATGCATTCAAGCAACTAAGTGAATCACTTACAAGGTCATAAAGAGGGGTCTTCAAGCCATAAAATGCAGTAATATTTGAGGATCTAGGTGAGCCATCAAACCTCTTTTTCTGCATAAAAAATGTAATTGAGGGGAAACATGTCAGCACAAGTCAGAAAGGTAGTTGTCAAAGTGAAGAAATCTCCTGTGAGGAATCAGGATTTAGGAATGGTATAAAATCAATTTTAATCTTTAGAAAAGAAGTCGATGGCTGATATTGAAATTCATTTATCCTTCCCAAGTGCAACAGAAGCAAACCTTCAACTTTGTTTCACAGTTTTCTATGTTAAGGAATGATGCTATCCCAATATGACCCATGTTTCCATGAACCTTTTAGACCAAAATGTATAGAGAACTAACAACACACACCTGTTCTACCAGCAACCAACAAAATATAGCCACACAATATCCAATTTAATGCCTATTAGTGAATTACTTTCTTGGTAGGATTAAAATTCATATTTTGCCATTTTTAGAAATATGTTATGAATTTCAATACTGGAAACCGACCCAAGGCAACAGCAAATTTGCATTCTAGGTCTGTAACCTTGTAGCTCTATTTGTTTCCATTTCTAACAAATAGAATAATAGCTCATGCATTTTCATGCCAAAGATCCAGATCACTCAGTTCAAAGACTTTTCATCATGTCTTCAACAAAAATCAACTTCTAAAGTGCAATTCATGTTCATGTTTATTAAGCATATCACCAGAAAAGGTAGCTAAAATAATCACAATAATTTAAAAGGGTGACTAATCAGCAAGACAATGAGACAAACAAATATCCATCCAAGAAAAATACCCTGTGAAGAAGAAGCTTTGGAATCTTGAACTGTCTACATAAGTCAGCTGAAATGAGATGACAGCTAGTAGGGACGGGATTGAAGTAACAGGAAGCCATTGATACTTTGTTGTTCCTATCATTTATAAGCATATAAATTCATTATTTAAAGGTTCATTGCATTATGGAATACAACCATTATAACCCAAACTGTAGATTTAATGAAACAGTGATACAATTTTCGCATTCAAGATGAACAATGGTGCAGTGGAGAATAGAAATTGATGATGGCATTTCAATACAAAACTGATGCCATCCTCCACCCTAAACCCAAGTACATGCCTTTCCCACATGGGAAAACAACAAATTGCAAGAAAAATTAACTGAGCAGATCTTGACCCAAAGATTAATATGGCATCAGCTATTGTGTCCCACTGTCCACAAATTAAGTTTCGATTAAACCTAACAGTGTAACTGCAAATTCACCAAAAATCACACACACACACACACAAAAAAAAAACAAAAAAAGAGCATACATAAGCATACAACAAATAATCAAGTATCCCAAAAAGACAATAATAATAACAAGATATGGTTGCAAAGCACAGATAAAAATGTTCACAAAACTGAAATAAATGCGAGTCTGAGATTGTAATCATTTAGGCATTTAAACAAGCACTTGTCATGCTTATGAACTTGAAATTTCAGTCAGACATAATAATAATAATAAATAAATAAAAGACAACGCCCTTCAAAAGAAGAGAGCAATGCTAAACCACCCATCTTTTCTATAAGTTTGTCCAATCTTCTCCACAAACATGCAAACACCATAAAAAGTTTGAAAGTCTAAAAGTTATAGGTAGCAAAAACAGGAATAAAAAAGAAAAAAGCAACAAAAAAAAAATGAGAATCAAGCAAAGCAAGATGCTGAGAAAAACAGTGAACAAAAACATGGGAAATTCAGAAAGGGAAAGGAGAAGTTACAAGAAGCTGAAAAGAACGCAGTTGGAACACACACCACAGTGGCGATGTCTTCTTTCAAGACGGAAAAGAAGAGAGCAATGTCTTCCAACTTAACCTTGAGTTGAGTTGTTGCTTACTCTTCAGGTGAAGATAATGTAACAGATTTCAACAATTTTAAACGTGCTCGTTATTTAGAAAGGACTCATTTTATTAACTAATGTAAAATAGTTATGTCGGGAAATTTTTTTTTTATTTAATAAAAATCTACATGATTGATTATATAACTTTTATTTAAATAAATATATAAATAAATACGATCTTAATATATTTATTGACAATTTGTTTAGTTTTCTATTGAGCAAAAAGAAATTTTCGTTTATGAATTTTGAAGTACTCTGCAACAAAATTTTTAGAGCAACAAATTTTCAATTTTGATAAACGAATATTCCAACGGAGATTAGAACTGAGTATTACCAGGTTTTTGATAACATAAGATGCAATTGTTTTAAGGATAACTAATATCCATATCTAATTATTGTTACATCATTCGATTATTATAGAATGAAAAATTTGAATATTTCTTTTTAAAATATTAATATTAATTTTAGTTATCAATTTTAAATTTTAAAAATAATTTTTTATAAAATATAATATTTATAATAAAAATTAATTATTTTTATTTTATGTGTGTCAAAATTTTGTTATTTTTAAATATTTAAAATTAAGATACTATATTAATGTTAATTATTAAAATAAAATTTAAAAATTTATTAAAAATAATATTAAAAACATGTAAAATACTATATTTATATTAAAGATGAACTAAATTATTATAACATTATTCATACACTTTTGTATTATTTAATAATATTTTATTGTATAACTTTGTCTTAAAACTAATTTATTCATTTATATATATATATATATATATATATATATATATAAAAGGAAGAATTTTTTCACACTAATAAAAGTTTTAAAAATTATTAATACTCGATATGAACTTTTTATTTAATTTATATTTAACGGTCAGTAAAATAATAAATTATAATTTGTTACATGTAAGTCAAATGAAAAACTCAAATTAAATATAAAAATTTTAGACTTAAACTAATATAAGAAAATCATGATTCAGGACAAAATTCTGAGGCAGATTCTGTTTTAGCTATTAATCCAGTCAACAATTGAAAAAATTCTTCCAAGCTTTATTATAATAGAGCCACTGCTCCTGATCTTGTTTTAAAAGATAAGCAAGATTATATCAAAAGTTTTAATTCTAATGATATCTATATTTAGAATATTAATGGTCTATCTGAATATAATTTCATTTCCAAATTTCAAAATATGTCTGTCGTTGTTATGAGCTATTTTACTAACCAAAATATGCCTGAAGATACAATTGTTTATATTCTAGTTGCAGGTTTTACTGGTCAACTCAAAGGTTGGTGAGATAATTATCTCACTGAAACTGATAGAGAAAATATTCTCTTTGCAGTAAAAATCGATGACAAAGGTAAAGTCATTGTCAGTGATAATGAATAACTTCCTGATGCAGTGTATACTTTATTATATACTATATCCCAACATTTTCTTGGAGATCCTTCTTTATGGAGAGAAAGATCTGGTGAGCTTTTATCCAATCTTAGATGTAAAACCTTAGAAGACTTCAAATGGTATAAAGATACTTTTATGTCTAGGGTTTTAACCAGAGAAGATTGTAACTAAGCTTATTGGAAGGAGAAATACCTTGATGGTCTTCCCAAGTCTTTCGGAGATCTTATTAGAGGCAAACTCCGAAGTCACTCTCCTAATGGAGATATTAATTATGACAGTTATGACTATGGTCAACTCACTGCCATTATTATTCATAATGCTATCAAAGTTTGTCAAAAAGATAAACTCCAAAAGCAGTTTGCTAAAGAGAGAGAGTCCTGAACAAGAAAGATTTAGGATCTTTTTGCGAGCAATTTAGTCTTCCTTCTTACTCTACCAAAAAGAAAAAACAAATTCCTAAAAAGGAAACTGTTGAAACCTATAAGAAGGCTTACAAAAGGAAGTACAATAGGAAACCTCCTTCCAAGAAACAAGGGAAAATGTTATTCCCAGCAATATTCCTAAAAAACCCAAAAGAGGTGTAACTTGTTACAATTGCGGTAAACCTGACCATATCAGTAAATATTGCAGGCTTAAGAAGAAAATGAGTAGCCTCAACCTTGATCCTCATGTTGAGGATCAAATCAATAACGTCCTTATTGAATTTTCTGAAGAAGATTCTGCCAAGGAAACCAATGAGGATGTTAACCAAATTTAATATGATGATCAAATCTCTTCTTCTGATAGTGATGATACTCCAGAAATCAATGTTTTAACAAAAGAACAAGATCTCCTTATAGAAGCAATAAGTTCTATATCTGATCTTTAGGAAAGAAAAGAACTTTTTAACAAATTTAAAGATGTTGTAGAAACAAAACCTAAACCCAGAGAACTTTTTACTACTAATAAGTTCGATATAACAAATATTTTCAAAAGATTAGAAAAGAATTCTAATATTAAACCTACCACTATCCAAGATCTCCAAATTGAAATTAACAATCTCAAAAAGGAGATTAGAGATATTAAAAAGCAACAGCAAATTCATCAGGCTATTTTTTCCCAACTTGATGATGATAGTGAATCTGAAGTTGAGAAAGAAAAACCTCTTGAGAATAATGATTCTGAGAAAATCGAAGAAACTTTTATGTGTTTGATCAACAAGGTCAAAATTCAAAAATTTTACATTAACATCAGGATCATTATTGATGATTTTGTTCTTAATACTTTAGCACTGTTTGATACTGGTGCTGATTCAAATTGTATTTTAAAAGGATTAGTTCCTACAAAATATTTTGAGAAAACCTCATGAAAAACTTAGCACTGCTAGTGGTTCTAAGCTCAAGATTAGGTATAAATTATCCAAAGCTGTCATAGAAAATCAAGGGTTTAAGATTGAAACAAGCTTTCTCCTTGTAAAAAATTTGAAAAATGAAGTAATTTTGGGAACACCTTTTATTAAAGCTCTTTTCCCACTTCAGATTTCGAAAGAAGGTATTTTCACCTATCATTTAGGTAAGCAAATAACTTTCAAATTTTCTAGTAAATCTTTTACTAAAAATATCAATTCTATCCAAAATAAAATTAATCAAATTAATTTTTTGAAAGAAGAAGTTTATTTTGCTAATATTGAGAAACAATTAAAGAATCCTTCACTTTAGAAAAAAATTCAATCCTTTTTAGGATCTATCCAATGTTCTATCTGTTCTGATCTTCCTAATACTTTCTGGAATAGGAAGAAACATATTGTTAGTCTTCCTTATGATTCTGACTTTATGGATAGTCAAATCCCTACTAAGGCTAGACCCATTCAACTGAATGAAGAACTCCTTCAGTATTGTCAAAAAGAAATCAAAGATCTCTTAGACAAAAATCTTATTAGAAAAAGTAAGAGTCCTTGGTCGTGTTCTACTTTTTATGTCAATAAACCTGCAGAATTAGAAAGAGGAACTCCCAGATTAGTAATCAACTACAAGCGCCTTAACCAAGCCCTTAAATGGATTAGGTATCTTATTCCCAACAAAAAAAGATCTTCTCAATAGGTTAAATTCCGCTAAGATCTTTTCAAAATTTGACATGAAATCTGAATTTTGGCAAATCCAAATCTGTGAGAGTGATAAGTATAAGACCGCCTTCACTGTTTCCTTTGGTCATTACGAATGGAATGTTATGTCTTTTGGCTTAAAAAATGCTCCTTCTAAATTCCAGAAGATTATGAATGATATATTTAATCCTTACTCCAAATTTGTCATTGTCTACATTGATGATGTCTTAATTTTTTCTCATTCTATTAATCAACATTTTAAACATATAAATGTTTTTATCAATGTTTTCAAACAAAATGGACTTGTTGTTTTCAAGTCTAAAATTAGTTTATTCCAAACTAATATAAGGTTCCTTGGTCACAATATTCATCAAAGAACTATCATTCCTATCAACAGATCCATTGAATTTGCTGACAAATTTCCTGACAGAATCCTTGATAAAACTCAGCTTCAAAGGTTCTTGGGATGTCTTAATTATGCAGGTGATTTTATTCCACACCTCAACAATATCATTAAGCCTTTATATGATAGGCTTAAAAAGAATCTTCCTTCCTGGACTGATGTTCATACCAATGTCGTCAAAGATATTAAAAATAGAGTCAAAGAGATAAGTTGTCTTTATCTCCCTATCCCTCAAGCTTTCAAAATTGTTGAAACTGATGCCTCTGACATAGGTTATGGTGGCATTCTCAAACAAAGAATCAAGTCACATGAGTATATTATTGCATATACTTCAAAACGTTGGAATTCTGCACAACAGAATTATTTGACTGTTAAAAAAGAAGTTTTGGCAGTTGTTTTATGCGTCTCAAAATTTCAATCAGATTTATTAAATCAAAAATTTCTTATCAGAGTAGATTGCAAGTCTGCCAAAGAGATTTTACAAAAGGATGTCAAAAACCTTGCCTCAACAAATTTTTGCTAGATGGCAAGCAATTTTAAGTGTTTTTTATTTTGAAATTGAATATATCAAAGGAACCTCCAATTCTCTTCCTGATTTTCTTATTCGTGAATATCTACAGGATAAATAGAATGCCTAGAAAGGCATCGACCTCCTCTAGAGGAGAAGCCACCAGCCGAGGAAGAGTCAGGCTAGCTTTCGCTCTAAAATCAAAAGCAAAATCTGCTTCAGCAGATTCAAATTCAATCTCTTCAGGGTCATCAACTCCAATTGAGTCATCAACTCAAAAAGCCATCCAAATTATTGAGTCATCCACTCAACAATCTGGAATTCCTAAAGAATCTTCTAAAAAGATTGATTCTTCTCAAACCAAAATAACCAAACAAACTAAAGCAGATTATACTTTACCCATCAGTACACTATTGGCCCTCCAACAAGGAAACCTGGGTACTTTACCAAAAAAATCTTGGGCAGATATTGCTTCTGAAGATGAAATAGAGTTAGACTTATCCAGCCTAAACACCATAGTCCAATCATTAAACAAAACAATTACCCGAGAAGACACCAGCAAAACTGCTATTCTTAAAAAAGACAAACAAACACAAAAACTA